GACATGTCATCTGTTCCCCGACAGAGCTCGGCCCTGAACACAGACTGAAACACAGTTTTAATTCTTAGTCTCTGTATTAACCACAGAAATCCCACAGCAACCTTCAGTTTTAACTCCCTGCGATCCAGTTATTACGTTCAGCTCTGCTCTTTGCATTTTAAGTACATTTCAAGTCTTTCAGCAGCTGTTCTGACCACATGATGACTTTAAGAGGAACAGTCGGCTTCTCATAAAACACAGAGAGACAAATTACAAGAAAAGGAAAGAACCGGTTCAAACTGGAAACACATGACTGATAAAAGCGACCGGATCTCATTTTTGACATTCAGAGTCTCAGGGAGAGATTTGTAAAGATTTGAATGATGAACTGGTTTTAAAGTCTGAAGATATTCTGAAACTAGTTTCATGACAGCAGAGCTGATTTCTGTTCTCGCTAAAAAAAAGAAAAAACACTTCCTCGTTTCAACAACAGTGGGGGAGGTGAAGCTGAGCAAACTACAACCTCCATTTTGTTCTCTTCTTACAGTCACAGGCTCATTAGGAGCTGTGAAGGTTACATTTTAATATATACTGCAGTAAAAGAAGCTCAAAGTCCAGGTTTATCATCAGCCTTCAGGAAGTAATAATCCTGTGTTTTAAAGGTGGGACTTTGTTCAATAAATGACTTATCTGAATCCTGCTTTATGACTTTTATGTAAGTCAAACAGAGTGTAAACTTTACCCAACACGTTTAAAATGACAGCTAAAAAACTAGATAAAGAAATATGAAACACATATCTATAAGCCTTCAGTGCTGCAGGCTCTGTCAGCGTGTTTTTCACCTCGTGTCGCCTGGAGCTGAGCTGAGATGAGAGCTGCACAAACGTGACCGCACCCAGCATGCATGACAGCTCCTGCCTGTTTGGCGAACACTCCCTCTGCCGCCTTTTTTTTTTTTAAATATCTGCTCTGCTTCTAAGGGTCAAGCACACACTACTTATATATTTTGATGACAGCTTTTACATGTTTTATATGTGTACAGGAGGGAGGAATCCCACATGGAGATTAAGATAGATAGAGGATGATAAAAGTCAAGTTAATCAGTCCCAAGGTGCTATCTTATGAAACATAGAGCATGTGATATCTACTCGGGAGTTTCTGAGTCCTGACAGGGACTAGAAAGAGAGCAGATTTCTCCTGTTTTGGCTTCCTGTTAAATCCAGAATTCAAAGTCCTGCTCCTCACATACAAGGTCTTAAATAATCTTATCTTAATGACCTTGTAGTACCATATCACCCTATCAGAGCACTTTGCTCTCACACTGCAGGCCTACTTGTTGTACATGACAGCTAGTGTAATGAATATTTGTTTTAATTTGATCTAAAGGGGATATTTGACAGTCATGCTGCAGGAGGAAAATGTGATCAGCGGGACTTTTCATGTGACTCAGCTCCAAAGGGAGCTTTGACATCTGATTCAGACTGTGGAGTGGGAGGTGCAGCAGTTTTCAAAACACTTCAAACCACAAAACCTCCACTGAATAAGGCCCTTCATTAAATTTTATTTTCTCTGCTGTGTTGACAGGGACAGGCCCAGTCAGGCCATTTAGAGTGAGTGCCCCACCCCCCGGATAACTAACAGGAACTGTGTTGTTCCTCTTCTGACAACTGAATTTACAAGAAGAGAAACAAAGAAAATCCCACTGATTAAAACTAGTCTGATCACATTGTTCAGATCATAAATTATCTTTAGATTCTTTCTTTGAATTATAAATGACAAGATGGCAAGATTACAATCTGTTCTTTTAAACGTCACTTTCTCAAATGTAAAAGACAGAAGCATGTATGTTTGGGATGAGTGGAGTTGAACTTGTTCTGAACTAACAGCCATGTGCTGTGCAAGTTATATTTTAATTTTTTTATGACACAATGTCATTAAAGACAGTGTCTTTGCCATCAGTTTACCATTAGGTCTTAGTGTTTTACAGGACTTTGTAAAACTGTAAAGGCTGTTTTACAGAGAGATCATGGAAAAACATGACTATTATAAAAAAAATATATGTTTTAATATCAGATATAAAGAAAAAGGTCAGAATGAAAAACTTACATACAGAAACATACAGAAACAGAAGGCCAAACTGAGCTCAGTTTGTTGTGACTATTTTTAGACTTGATCAGCAGGATTCTTGTAATAGCAGGAGCATGACTTCATTTCTAAAGAAATAAAGGCAAACCCTTTCTGTTTCTGTAATGCACAAGGAATTTTCTTTGAGCTCTGTCATAATTATTTGTCACTAATTATGGTTATTTCTTACAGAAGGTAAAAACAATTAGAATATGTGATTTCTGATACTGGAAAAATACATTTATTCCAGTTCTTTAAAAATAAATGAATAAAATCAGGGAACAAAAATAAACCAAGATCCCTAGAAACATTTTACTGTTTATCTGTTCACACATCAACTGTTTGCAACATGATTTGAAAAGTCTGCCTTATTTTCTGTTAATAAACAAAGGAAATGAAAGAAAACTTATATCATACTGAAGAGGAACTGCTTTGTTCTCCCTTAAAACCCAGCGCGGAACAAACTGCAAAGTACAACCTGCACCTTGTAATAAGAGCTTCACTTTGTTGTCTCTAATTACAGGCCCAGAGCAGGCCCAGACTAGCCAGGAGGATTATTATCAGGTGACACGCAAGGATGTTTTAAAAAAAAAAGCTCTAAGGATTAACTGGGTAGATAATGAATGGGTATCTGTGTTTTTCCATCTGTGGTTACTTGGAGCAAAGCCCAGAGGGTGTGTTGCATGTACTTTAGAAAAATATAGTACATTTATTTTTCCTAAATGAGTAGATAAAGCACTTGACAATAGCAGGGGATGAGAACCTCCTTTATCTGCACTGATTTTGTTTTTTGTTTTTCAAAAAACAAAAAATACACATCAACAGTGTGAAGCAGTTAATATACAGGAGCTCCACCAGTGCCAACTACAGCAACAAACCAGAGTTCTTGTATTAAGTGCTTTAAAAGTAGATTGTTTTTGTTGCTTTCGATTTCTTTGCGGTAACCACAGTGGATGATAATACAAGAACCTGTAGTTTGTCTGCTGTGACATAAAAATTGTCAAGTGCTATATTTCATACCTGTTCTGCATCATTTGGTTTATCAGGAGGAAGGGTGAGACAGAAATACTTCCTAGTCTTTACAGTGATCAAAATAATAACTACACAAATAAATAATGACGGTGCTATCAGTACAAGATGTACTCTGTTGACATGATTCTTTCCATTCTCCTCCTGTCCATCCTTTGTGTCCTCTTGTCATCATCATCAAACCTGTAGACTCCTTTTTTTAGAGGGTGGGGTTGCTAGCCCCACGCCAAACCCTCCTCTTTTCTCATCCTGGGCTTGGGACCAGGCAATGGCAGAGTTTAGTGAAATAATTATATTAATAATTATTTAGATGTAACAGATCTGATGATGATGACTCTCAGCTCAGTTATAAGCAGTGTAGGGACTAACGCGTTATTAAGTAACGCGTTACAGTAACTACGTTATTATTGTGGTAACGAGCACGGTAACTAGTTATTATGCCAAAACCGGGAACGCATTACTCGTTACTGGGATTTAGATAGGCTCGTTAGGTCTCTAGTCCAAATGCCCGGGCCGATTTTTTGTCCCCGTCCAGCCCTGTATGCAGCTCATCTGCAGTCTGGTGTTACCTACATCTTCCTATTCAGAAGGCAGAATTTCCGAGTTCTGAGTAC